CCCTGCAATAATGAAATGTTGAACAACACAAATATTTAGGGCTGCACGATAAATCGCATGTGATATTTAACTTCTTGTCTCCATCAATCTCCATCAATTGCGGGGTCCCACACGGAGCACCATTAACTACCCAAAACATGTTTTAAAAACGTGCAGCCCTACAAATATCCTTTATGTATTTAATCCCATTCTATTAACCAATGTCTTTGCTTCTGACCTTCGATGATCCAGTTCAACCATACTAATAAGCAAAAATTACTCTAGACAAACATTTGAGTCTTTTTTTTTTCATTGCTGTAGTGTGTTGAAATTGCTTCTTCTACTGTACGGACGTAAATTTACTTTCCCTTCAGCCTGAGGTTTATTCATTTCACTTTTGGTGTGAAAAGCTTTTATATTTGCCAAAAATATAACTTTTTTATTTAGATTTGCAAGATATAACATTATTGTTATTTTTACCTACTCTTCACTGCTTAATATAAAATTGTGGTTAAATGTTTTAGATCATTGTTTTAATATCACAAATTGTGTCTGTTTATTTACAGGGTGACCTAACTCTGACGATGAGCCAATACAGTGGACACTTGAGTAGGGTTGGGTATCGTTTGGGTTTTTTTCGAAACCGGTGCCAAATCGCTACTTTTAAAATCGTTCCGGTGCCTAAACGGTGCCTGAACCGATACTTATTAAAGAATAGAGGAAGAATAGAGAATGCTAGTGTTAGAGGCTGTTTTTTCTTTATAAATAAAACAAGTTAGAATAGAAATAGAATAGAGAGTGCAAATGTTAGAGGATCAAGTTTTTTTAATAAAAAAAAACAAGCAGATAAAATTAGAAGTAGCATTAGAATAGAGAGTGCTAGAGTTAGAGGGTCAAATGAAGATGAAAGAGATGTGTTTTCAGCCGTTTCTTGAAAATATTAAGGACTCAGCTGCTTGATTGAGTTGGGCAGGTCATTCCACCAGGAGGGAACAGTTCATGTAGAAGTCCATGAAAGTTTTATCATAGGTAGAATGTAAAATGTTTCAATACAAGCATTTCAGTCAAATGTAATTTATGCAATATTTCAAACCTTTAACTCACTTGGGAAAATCAACCCATGGCAACAATTGAAAAGTAGCCCAATTCTGTGGGAAAAACGCGGACTTGGCAACCCTGCATCCAACACGAGCTGCAGGAGTCAGCTTTGACTGATCACAGGTCAAGAATAAGGAGAGATGACTGACAAGACCATGCTGGAGTATTTGCTGCTCAACAGATTCTGATCTCATTGACAAATATCTGATCTTGTAAGATGTGCTCCCTTTACACAGAGTGCGTGTTATCGCGAAATCGAAAGTGAAAGTAAACAGCGCAAACGCTCATTCAAAAATATTTAAATACACCGCATCCCGAGAGCGGCTCAGTGATGCGCCAAAATTATATACAATATTAGAATGTTTAAAGGAGTGGACACGAGAATCGCGTGAGCGAAACATATGTTGCGGGAGCAGGCGGCAATGGTCAGAGATTCAGCAGGAGTGGGAATAAGAGAACAGCCGAATCCGGGGGAAATGTCCGCTGGAAAGAGGACGTATGGTCACCCTAATTTATAATCTATTGCTAATCGATGTATTCTTTTTAAAGTAGCCTATGTAACATATGTTCTGCCTCATTCTGTGACAAGAAGCCTCACCAGATCACAAAAGGAAGCATTTGGTGTTGTGGAGTAAAAAGGTTATAATGATGGAGAAGGAAAGAGGATTGGACAAGAGGAATGGGAGAGAAAAGGAGGACGAAGGTGAACAAAGTAAAATAAATTATGAGAAGTGGCTAACAGTACTGGTGGAGATAGAGGGAGAGGACAGAATCACCATGATGGAAGTGTTGAAGAAAGTAAGAGAGGAGTGTGGAGTGGTGATAGGATGTAGATATAAAACTCCACGAGAATATGAGCTGACAATGGAGGAGGAGAAAGGAAAGGAGAAAGTATTGGATGGACTAAAGATAAAAAAAGCAAAATCATGGCGAAAGAAATGTCACACTGAGATGGTGGTTTCGTTCCTGGGCCTGCCAATGTATATCCAGGATGAAGATATATTGAGAAAGCTGACGCAATTCAATTCAATTCAAGTTTATTTGTACAGCGCTTTTCACGATACAAATCGTTGCAAAGCAACTTTACAGCAAATTAGGGTTCTACAATATTTAGTAGTAGCTTAACAGTGGTAACTGTCATGTTAATGTACATATGGCAGAAATGTACGGAAAAATCTATTAAAGACGTAATCAAACAGACGATGAACACTATTAACAGCAATTATTATATGATGCAATCAAACGTATTGCAAAATGTGGTAGTTCTGTATGTTGTTTCAGGGTTGGCATGATCTGAGGTCCTATGACAGGTTGGCATCATCTCTTCTCGGGTGTTCTGGATCCAGACTGAAGCTTGTGTAAATCCTAGCTACCACGGGATGTCAAAAAAAGAGAAACAAATAGAGACATAATTACCGTAGCTGCTGTTCCAACCAAGCAAAATTGATTTGTTTAACCCAAGCTAAAGAATAATAATGTGCATTTGATCAGATATAACTGCAGTACAAGATTATGACATGCATTATTTGAATGCTTGGCCAAAGAGATGTGTCTTTAATCTAGATTTAAACAGAGAGAGAGTGTCTGAACCCCGAACGTTATCAGGAAGGCTATTCCAGAGTTCATAAAGAATGAAGAATATCTATCATCCAGCAGTTTTAATTTTGACTGCCAACTCTTTAAAATACATCAAAACAGCACGGAAACAGTATTCAGTCGAAGAAAAAATTAAAGTTATCCTCAGTACAATCATCCCCATTTAAATCATAAAGTTTGAAAAAAAATAGATTTAAAATCATGTGTAAGGCCACTGAGACAGCATATGCTGTTGTTGCACATAAAATATTAATGTTTAGAACAGTGCAAATACAAACACCATTAGAAACTCATAGTTCAGCATCACACACCATGATATGGGTTTAAAATGAGAGCCCATTTCTCTCCAAAACAGTGCCAGTTTTAGCGTTTTGCAATAAAGAAATAAGAATAACTAAACTTGATCATTTATGTTACAATTTTAACATAAATGCACATTGTTCTAGAAGGATGGCAAATGCATGCCATACCTTTTACACATTTACTCGAATTGTTATGCTAGTCATACAATTTGTAAGGAAAAATTAAATAGCAAGGTATTTCTGGGGCAACCGTTTCAGAGGAAAACACACACACGCATGTCTCTTTGCTAAGCCGCGGCGGTCTCGGTGAATCAGCAGCATCCACAACTGAACGGAACAAAAAGTGTTGAACTTGAAAATTGTTTATGCGCGAGAGCACTTACTAAATGAAGGCGGATTGTATAAAATGGATTAAAAAAAAACATTTATTAACGAGCTGCAGTTTTATTACATCACGCGCTGGCACAGATGCAGTAGCCTATATTAACGCCACGGGTCATCAATAAGGTGCAGATTGGTGCTCAATGTGTGTTTCCAACACAATTTTGCACTGCGCACAGCGCGCATCACGCGCTCAAACTCATCAAAAGTCAACAAGTTCCACAAGCAACAACGACTTATCCAAGTGACTGCTGCAGAACGCACGCAACAGAGAGACGAGGCAGCACAGTTCGCGCGTCTCATAAGTGAGTGGGGAATTTACCGAACGTGGCACTTGCGGGAGTTAACACTGTATGCAATACCCGCAACCTCACACCAAATTTCAGGCCGTGTAGATAGGCAAGCATATATATACAAATCATTTAGTAAGCAGAAATCCGAAACTTACCTTAACATATTAAGTTAGAGGAAGATGCGACTGAATTGATGCTTGAAGAATGCGCTTCCAGTGGCCATGATAAACAGTTGGCGGTTAAAGTTTTCTATGCACAATTTGATTTTACTAAAGTCACGAGACCTATTACTCTCTATCCAATCAAATAATAATAATCCGATAAAAATAACATTAAAGTAAGCATGTAACGACCACAAACGGAGGAAAATAGCGGAGTAAAAGTACCGATACATCACTTAAAATGTACTCAAGTAAAAGTAAAAGTACACAATTTTTTAACTACTCAAAAAGGTACAATTACTGATAAAAACTACTTAATTACTGTAACGTGAGTATTTGTAATTCGTTACTTCACACCCCTGTTTGTAACTGATACGGAACTTAATAGGTAGTCAGTGCAAAGACTGTAAAATTGGGGTAATATGATCATATTTTCTTGACCTGGTAAGGACTCTATCCGCTGCATTTTGGACTACCTGCAGCTTGTTTATTGAAGATGCAGGACAACCACCTAGCAGTGCATTACAATAGTCCAGTCTAGAGGTCATGAATGCATGAACTAGCTTTTCTGCATCAGAAACAGGTAACATGTTTCATAACTTGGCAATGTTTCTAAGATGGAAGAATGCTGTTTTTGTAACATGGGAAATATGATTTTCAAAAGACAAGTTGCTATCTAATATAACACCCAGATTTTTGACTGTAGAGGAAGTAACAGTACATCCGTCTAGTTGCAAATTGTAATCCAAGAGATTCTGTGTGCTGTCTTTTGGTCCAATAAGTAATATCTCTGTCTTATCCGAATTTAATAGGAGAAAATTATTGGTCATCCAATCTTTTACATTTTTAACACACTCTGTTAGCTTAGATAATTTAGAAGTTTCATCTGGTCTTGTTGAGATATACAGTTGAGTATCATCGGCATAACAGTGGAAACTAATCCCGTATTTCCTAATAATATTACCAAGTGGCAACATGTATATCGAAAATAGCAGAGGACCTAGGACAGATCCTTGTGGCACTCCATATTTTACTGGTGATAATTGAGATGACTCCCCATTTAAATTAACAAAATGGTAGCGATCGGACAGGTAGGATCTAAACCATCTTAAAGCCTGCCCTTGAATACCTGTATAGTTTTGTAATCGATCTATGAGTATGTCATGATCTATAGTGTCGA